GTTTGTTTTCTTTTGTTTTGTTTGTTGTTTTTTTGACGTTTTGTATTTGTCTTTGTTTTGTTTGTTTCTTTTCTTTAAAAAAAATTATAGTAGAGGGTTTTACGGCGCTGACAACTGCAGAAGGTCATATGAGCACCAAAGGGTGGGTGTCACAGTCAACTGAGAAGTCTTTTCAGGGAATCAGACTTATTCTGCTCACCTCTCTAGCTTCAACAGCAAAAGGTCTGCTTCGACTATCAAGGCACCTCGGAAAGAGCAAGTCACAAGAGAGTGACAAACATGCAAAAGAAGTAGAGGAAAAATGACAATAGTAAGGATTAAGAAAGAAAAAGCAGCAGTTCCCTGTTGTAGATCAGGCACAGTTGTGAGCGTGACATGAATCAGCCCATTTACAATATTCTACTGTGCTTGAACAAGAAATGTCCCCCTTTTGGGAATGGCCTAAAGACAGTACAGTCAGTGGCACTGTCCCGGGGGGGGGGGGGGGGGGTTCTTTTCTTTTGTTTTTGTTTTCGTTGTTTTCGTTGTTTTGTTTTTTATTGTCTTTGTTTGATTGTGGTGTTTGTTTGGGGGTTTTTTGTTTGTTTGTTTTGGGTTTTTTCTCTTATTTTTAAAAGCATTTTATTGAATTTCTGTAGCAAAAATAGACATGATCTCGCGGACAGGCATGTGAGATGTAATAAGATGTTGTAAATCAGCGTATTGAATGTTGCTGTGTGGATTTCTGTTCTATTATCTGTTTTCTGCGGCCGTAAAAAAAAGCAGGACAAAGGCACGATCATCACGAGGTTGTAGGATCAGGATCTTTAACAGCAAAAATATACTTGGCCTTTTCAATCCCTGTCATCTCCGAGACTCCTACTCCTTAACAAAAACAAAAATTGCTAAGCCAGCGTTTGCGCCTCGTTAGTGCTGTTGCGCCGCTGTTGGCATTCGGGGTGGTTTCAGGCCGGAGGGAAGACTGGTGCCTTAAGGGGCTTACTGCACTCATTACACGTCCTTAAACATGCGAAAGGACCGGCGTATTAAGCCCGGGTCGTGCTCTGCCTTCAGGGCTGAGGATGCGCTAATTGGACGGGGCGTAATGGCGTCCTTCTCTCCGGGAAATCAATGCGGCGGTTGGATATCTCTTCTGGAAGCGCTATCTTTCTCCTTGTTTGGCTGTCTATTTTTTAGTCTTTTTTTCTTTGGTTCACTCTTCTTTAATTTCTTGCACTTTCGGATTTGCGTTTTGCTCTCTTTTTTGTATTTTTTTCTTTTTTCGTACCCCCCGCCCCCCACCCCCTCTCTCTCTCTCTCTCTTTCTCTTTTCGACAAGCCGTCTTCTTTCCTTTTGCTCTCTCGTCGTTATAAATAATCCTTTGCGGCCTGTGTTAAAGCAGGTTTGGTTGTATTGGCGTTATTATCTCTCCCCTCTTACGGCGATAATAACTGGCAGTAAATGAACAGTAGAGTTTGAATATTGTGATCTGTGCTACAACTCGTCGAAGTTAAAAGTCATTCTGTGATTGCAAGTGCATGTATGGTTTGGGGGGAGGAGTGGCTTAAAAATCTAATTGTTCAATTGCAATATGTATTATTCTATATAAAACAACTGCATCATTTTTCGGAAAGAGAATTGTTTTCAAGACTGGGTCAAGATGAACAAGGGGGGTGGGGGGTGGGGTGGAGAAGCAGATAATACCACGCGGGTTTCTTTAAAAGGTATAAGTACCTGTGGTGATTTTGGGGTGGGTGTGAACCGGAGAACGCCTGCCACTTGTCTGAGTGTCACCAGAGTTCAACCTTTAACAATTGATTCTCGTGAGTGGTTGGCGGATCCTCTGGTGTGGTTTGCTCCTTCTTTCCTATCAATCCTTTATCGTCCTTAACTCCTCCCTTTCTTTTTTGTGTGTTTGTTACTTTCTTGTTACACCTCTTATCTTATGCACTAATATGATCTTATTTTGTTGCAAGTGCCGTATAACTCTTACTAAAACTAAACACGTCTAATCTTCAGCATAGTTCAGAGCCCCATCTCTCAGCGCCAGACCCCGCGCCATTGTCACAGCGGGCCTTGTGCTGCCGAGCGGAAATGGACCAATTTGTTACTCTTTGCTGACGTGACGGGCCGCTGCTGATGCGTAATTCAAACGCCCCCCTCCCTCTATCTCTCTCTCTCTCTCTCTCTCTCTCTCTCTCTTTCTGTCTCTCTCTCTGCCGCCTGCATTGTCATTGTGGTCATGGTCATCTTGATCATAATTAAGTTTATCGCCATTATTATGTCCTTCTTCGTTGTCTTGTTCGTAATCATCATCATCATCATCATCATCATCATCATCATCATCCGTTCTAATTCGAATGGAGGTATGTGGACGAGTTGAGGTGCTTCTGAGTATAATGACAATGGAGCCGAAAAAGAGCCTCGCTCTCGCTCGAATATTTCTTCGTGGAGTTCACCAGACCCATTAAGGAAAAAAAAATCATCATCATCATCATCATCATCATCATCATCATCATCATCATCATCATCATCATCATCATCATCATCATTGGTAAGAAGAAAAAAAATATGCAGAGCGAAGAAAATAAGTTTGCTTTATATAAAAAGAGCTCCAACATTTAGCCCATATTTCTAATAATTGTTGTCCCTCATCTATGAGGCAAAGCGCTTGAGTTATCGTGCATGTTTGTTTATATTATGATTATTATGATTACTTGGGAGATTGAAGAAAGGGGAAGTAATTGGTGTAGAATCAGTTCCAAATAGTTTATGGCCCTCTTAGACCTCGGGGTCTGTCTGATAATCACGTGACAGATTCTAGCTACAGCAATCGGGTATGGAAACCTCAATTATCCCAATTCATATGCCCCACCGCCGCTCGAAGGGACAGACAAAGCGCTTTGCTGTGCTGAATGAATCTGGGAACTGCAATGTTGCGAAGCATCCCTCGATGACGCCATCGATTTTCGAACGTTTTGTTCAGATCGTTTCCTCTTTAGTACTGTCAGTTAGTTTTGCTTGTTTGCCCTCTTCCCGGGCTGTGTCTTTGACTGGGGGAAGTGATTGTGGGAGACTTGTCGATAATATCCGCTTTGCAGCTTTAATATCGACCCTGAATCGTTACCTAAGGTGGCATATTTTTTTGTAAAGATGAAAAATGTGAAAAGGTGAGGGGAGGAGGGAGAGGAGAGAATGCCATTCGATATATTGTTATAAGAGAGGTGGTATCACCGAACTTATGAATAAAGCTAATTATGTGCCAGTAATTTTAAAAAAAACTGAAATGGCGAAAAAAAAATCAAGTATGGTTTGCAACTGCTTTAGGTTCAGGGGGTCGTTGCAGTTGTTGTTTTTTTTCTTTGTTTCATATTTTTTAATGTTTGAGTTTGTGTGTGTGTTTGTGTG